TGATAAAAGAAAAACATTGTAATTTAGTATTCAAATGATTTAACCATAGATTTTAAGTAAGCTTATAGGCATACAATATATGCTATGTTCATGCACAATAATAATGTACATAAAATAAATGCTACAAAATCAAATCATGAATGAAAGTAAAAGAAACATAATATTCATTAACACAAAATAATTCAATAATATGAAATTCTCATAAATAACACGAATAACATCGTGTTCAAACCAAATAACATCTAAACAAAATTTCAAAAACATGTAAAAGACTTGACCAAAAAATCCATATACTAAGAATTAAAAGTGCAACACGCAAAAGATTAAAAAGAAAATGTCTATAAACATCTTTAAGATGAAATGTAAAATGTTGATGGGTGGTTTCATATTACCCTAACTTTTCCATTTTTGGGATCTTCAAGGTAGCGGAAACAAGACCACCTTTCGAATAAGACCACTACAAAGAGCCAGTGGTGGCAACAATCTCAATAAGGCGCTTCCCGGCACTGGAAGATGGTGTTAAAGCTTCGAGATCAACAACCTCGAGATTGTCATCATGGACGTAAACAATATTTTCTTGTATAGAAGACATAAGAGGATAAAAGTCGGATCAAAATAAATTATAAAAAACATAACATATTTGCATAAATACATGAAAATCAGGAATTAAATTGAAATATACTTTTGACTTTTACATTTTTGTGATATTAAGCCATTAAGCTATTGTTGTGATATTAATCCATCATGTTTATGTTCTTGGAGTCATTGAGGTGTATTAGAAAAATGGAATGATATAAAGGAAAAGATCAACTGGAAAAAAAAATGTGAGTAAATTGAACATATGTGAAAATAAAATAAAAAGATGCTACGAAATCTGAAGTTACGAAAAGATCTATGATTCTAGGTTTGCTGAAACAAACAAAAATACAAATAAAAGTTAGTAGTTTTATAGATCTTGTTTCTAGATCTACCGAAAGGAAATAAATACAAAAATGATTAGTTTCCAGATCTAATTAAATGAGCTTGAGTTCCAATCCATGAGGTACTTCATAATCTAAGAACTCCTAAAATAAATTTGAATCAACAAAATAAAACAAAAATAGTTTGGAACGTAAGTTACAAAAACGATGTTTGACCAAAAGTATTTTTATAGATCTTGTTTCTAAATCTACTGAAATGAAATAAATAAAAAATGATTAGTTTCCAGATCTGATTAAACGAGCTTCAATTCCAATCCATGAGGTACTTCATAATCTAAGAACCACTAAAATAAATTTGAATCAACAAAATAAAACAAAAATAGTTTGGAAAATCCGCTGCAAAAAAATTACTACTAACAGTTATTAAAAAAAATTAATTTTACACAACAAAACAAACGATAGAGGGGCCAAAGACAATGCAAAATCCTCAAATAAGGATTGTAATTGCAATTCAAATCTTTTTAGGACCAAAACAAAAAAATGGCCAAACTCAGGAATAAAAAAGTTGTGAAATTATTCTTGATTACCATATTTATTGGCTCACTATTATGTGTAATGAGTTGGTTTTTTACTCCAAGCAACCACAATTTGCTTTCACCACATGATAATTTACGTTATCTTTGAGGAAAATAAAAGGTATCTGTCAAATTAAAGATGTCGATACTTTGTATTTGATCCTTAAACCATTCAACAACTTGTTCTTTTAACAAAGCAACTGTTTTGGGTGTGTTCCAATAGCCACGTACGCATATTACATTTTCGATAAATATAAGCTATACCAGTAAACACATTTTTAGCATATTCAAGTATTTGTATAAAATTTGAAGTGTTAGGAATAAATAAATTTCATCAGAAAAATTCAAAGATAGACCAAATTTCATAAAAAGTGAATTGAATGTCCATTTGTTCATGTATGTGAATATAATTTCACTCATACATTCAATCAAACACCTTGTATGCATTTTCACAATCATCAACTCCCGTATCCTTCTTATTATTTTCTTATTACAAGGTACAAATAATCAAATGAAATTTCAATGGCAATTTGAAGCAACTTCATATGATTGAGATGTAATTCAATCATTTGTGCAAGGTGAAACTCAATGAATAGACAATTGCATGTTTCTTTTTATCAAGAATGAAAGTAGAATTTAAGAAGGAAAATAAAGATTAAGCACCTGCCAACATCGAAGATTATAAAGTTTTGAAGATTGAACACCCACCAACATGTATCTGGGATGAAATTGACTAAATAGAAAAGACACATAGACACATAATATAGATTTTATAGTTCACAAAAGAAAAAGAAGATACGCAAAGAAAGTAAAAAAATAAATAATTAAATAAAAAAAAAAACTCACCGGTTGTGCTATCTATTGAGGCGTAAACAATGAACATACAAAGAAGAGCAATAAAAAGAAGCCCAAACTTATGGTTAAAACCCCTCCAAATAAGCAATCGTTATAATTGGAGATGAAATTTGTCAAATAACAATATATGTGTATTTGTAATTCTAGTTATAAAAGGAGATTGAGGAATTGAATATTAGAAAAGTTTAAATTAGGTAAAAAATAAATCATGCATACAATTATGGATGGAATAAATGCACTATAGAAAAATAGATTTCGAATAAACTATTTCCTTATAGCACTCGATTAAAAATGGAAAGGATTGAAACTATAGAAAACGAAATGGATTGTTGATTTAAATCCTAAAAAATCAAGATCAATTTCAATCCCAAAAAATCAGAGATTATGATTGTAAGTTAAGAATGCAAGTTACAAAAACGATGCATGCTTATTTTTATAAAGAATGAAAGTAGAATTTAAAAAGGAAAATAAAGATTAAGCACCTGTCAACATCGAATATTTTAAAGTTTTGAAGATTGAACACCCACCTAAATGTATCTGGGATGAAATCGACTAAATAGGAAAGACACATAGACACATAATACATATTTTATAGTTCACAAAACAAAAAGAATATATGCAAAGAAAAAAAAAAAAAAAACCCTACCGGTTGTGCTATATATTGAGGGGTAAATAGTGAACATACAAAGAAGAGTATTAAAAGAAGCTTAATCTTATGGTTAAAACCCTTATAAAGAAACAAACATTATAGGTGGAGACAAATTTTATCAAATAACGATAGATGTATAGTTGTAATTTTATATATAAAAAGAGATTGAGAAATTGAATTTTAGAAAGGTTTAAATTAGGTAAAAAATAAAATTTTCATACAATTGTGGATGGAATAAATGCACTACACGAAAATAAATTTGGAATAAACTCTTTCCTTGTAGCACATCAATTAAAAAATGGAAATGATTGAGACTATTAGAAAACGAAAATGATTGTTGACTTCAATCCCAAAAAATCAGGGATTATAACTGTAAGTTAAGAATGTAAGTTACAAAAACAATGTTTGATCAAAAGTTTAGTCAAGATGACATCATCAATTTGATCTAATGGTGGAAAATATAGGATTGAAAAACAATCAAAGGCTCTGATTGCTTAATTGATGAATTAAATGTTCTCTTTTAATAATATTTAAAGATAGAAATGCAAAATGGCTATCGACCTAACCTAAAATCAGCTTAATCTTAATCACAAACACTTTTAATGACTTTTTATGTTATGGGTTACTATAATCTCTATTAATAATAGATTTATGCGTTCATGAATCATATGCATCCATTGATTATTTCAGATGGTATCGATTTAAAGAACAATAACTTAGACACCATGTTTGTTGCGGTTGCTATGGTCAATAATAACAAAAATAACCCTTTTAGCTTTCGGAATGGGAAGACGGACCATGGGAACGTTCACACAATGTTCTTTATGAAATTGATAGGATGCATAAGTCATACATACTGATATGCGAAAGAAAGGGCGTATAACAATTGACTGGAACCTGTGTCAACCCTCTTAAAAACTAGATATCTTACAAATCAAGTGGTTTTGATATTAATTTCCAGGCCGGTGCATTGTACTATAAAACGTAACAAAAAGTCAAATTAGTCATCAAGGCAAAACCACGTTGAATTATTTTTCACACACGTCGTATAGCAATTGGCCGTAACTCGTGTCAACCCATGCCAAAATCATTATTTTGTTTTTGCACTCCCTATTGTTGACTTAGTTTTCAAAAATACCCCCTAAGTTGAAAATTTTCACAAACGTTACGGCTGTTGATACAAACACTTGTGACTGTGATAAATCCACCAAAACCTTTAAACTTACTTTTTTTTTTTTTTTTTTTTTTTCAATTGCGTAAGTTATTATACACATTCGCTTAGGAATACAATGGTTGATGGGCTTGTAACATCTTATTCTTAATTTTGAATACATATAGATATCTTCAAAAATAAATATTATAATAAAAATGTTAAGTATTAATAGTGTTAGTTGTAGACTTGGCAATTTGATACACAAAAACACCGATACAACATGAATAAAACATATGTTTTTGTGTATGCGTTTTGAAAATTTGTGTTTCATGTCTATCCGTGTACACATATTTTAGGTTTGTTTTCTTGGCTTACATGTCTTAGACACAAACCCATATACGCGACGACTAAATGTAATAAATTACATTTTAATATTTTATTTTTTTAAACAACCTGTGTAATACACAAGTTTTACACTTAGTGGTTTTCATAATACACGGTTAAAAACATGTTTTGTTCCATTCTTATTACTTGTTATATGGGTTAATTTTGGTAAATAATAATCTACAACTTCAAATAACAGATAATGCTTCATGAGTTAAGATTATTAATAACAATAAGCATAAACAAATAACACCATGTTAGTATAATATCAAAATCATTTGTAAAGTTTTGCTAATCCATATCTTCTGTGCAAATACATTTGAAACATAATATCGGTTACGAAGCTTAAAATGTAATAACCAAGACATAAAGGACATATTTTTAACTTTCCTTAAACATCAAAGGTGCTTTCTGTAAATTTACAATTTGAATCCTAAATAGCGTTCCGTGGTGGATCCAAACTATCTGTGTCCTTTAAAAGACTTCGCTTGCGCAGCGCAATTTCGTTCATGTTAAACCAACTCCTCCCTTCCCTCTTCTCCTGTATAAAACCCTAGGGGTCTCTCCCCAAATTTCAATTAGATCTTTACCCTTTCAACGCTGTAAGTTCTCGATCTATCTTTCAAAAATCTACGTCTATTCTAATTCTGTACTTTATCTGTGTTTAATTACTTTCATTTTGCAGAAATCAATTACGATGTTTGAAACTTGATATGATAGTATTTTACTACCCGATCTGTTATGATTTTTTCAATTGAAATGCGTAATTGTGTTTTCAATTCGATATGTAGTTTGTTTTTGTTTGAATTTGCTGGTTTTATGTTTTGGATCTTGGTATGAATGTATGTACGCATTTGATTTGTTCTTACGTTTCAATCGATTGGTTATCGTTGAGTCGATGGAACTTTAATTGACCTTCAATTTGTGGTTTCTAGTTAGTTTCTATCATTCAATGCTTTGCATGTCGATGAGACGAGACGATTTGAAAGTTTATTGAGCGGAAAGCGTAAAGATGTTGACATTTTATGCCTTTTGAGTAGAAGATACTTGCAAATTAATCGAAAGAGATGTAATGAATAATGAATTAATTGATATCAGCGGAATCATGTTTAAATCATTTCTTTTGGGGGCTGCATGTGTTTCTTCAAGTCTAGGAAGGGGTTTTATCATAGTTGAATGTCTAGTTGTAATTGATGAAGCAGTTGGAACAAAGTATGGATTCTAGGTGTTTCTCAAGATGTTGAAACACAGTTCTTAATATACAATCTCCAGTTCCAATGTTAAAGCCAATTAAGACTTTTGTAATAATCATTCGCTTGTTACTTATACTTTCTTTTGTCAAACAACTTGAAACAGCTACTTCACAGTTCTGATTTCTCAAAATGGGAGGTGGTTTTAGAGTGTTACATCTAGTCAGGCCCTTTCTTTCCTTTCTACCCGAAGTCCAAAGTGCAGACAGGAAAGTTCCCTTCAGAGAAAAGGTCATATACACAGTGATCTCCCTTTTCATCTTTCTAGTCTGCAGTCAGCTTCCTCTATATGGCATACACTCCACAACTGGTGCAGACCCTTTCTACTGGATGCGTGTTATCTTAGCCTCAAACCGTGGAACTGTCATGGAGCTTGGAATCACTCCCATTGTCACCTCTGGACTAGTTATGCAGTTATTAGCAGGATCCAAAATCATTGAAGTTGACAACAATGTCCGTGAGGATCGTGCACTACTGTAAGCATTACATCTTTCTTTCTTTAACCTTCTTCAAACCTTCTTCAAACTTTCTCCATCTTTAAACTCTTTATTTTTCCAGCAATGGTGCACAGAAGTTGTTGGGAATCTTGATTGCTGTTGGTGAGGCTGTTGCCTATGTTCTATCAGGAATGTATGGAAGTGTTGGTCAACTTGGTGTTGGAAATGCCATTCTCATAATCGTTCAGTTATGTTTTGCTGGGATTATTGTGATCTGTTTGGATGAACTTCTACAAAAGGGATACGGTTTAGGGTCTGGGATTTCATTGTTCATAGCTACCAATATCTGTGAAAGCATTATCTGGAAAGCATTCAGCCCTACAACCATTAACAGTGGACGTGGTGCTGAATTTGAAGGAGCAGTGATTGCATTGTTTCATCTTCTAATCACTAGATCTGATAAAGTTCGAGCCTTACGTGAAGCTTTTTATAGGCAAAATCTGCCTAATGTGACTAATCTGCTTGCAACTGTGTTGATTTTCTTGATTGTTATATACTTTCAAGGGTTTCGTGTTGTTTTGCCTGTGAGATCTAAGAATGCTCGTGGGCAACAAGGGTCTTACCCCATTAAGCTGTTTTACACTTCCAACATGCCTATTATTCTCCAGTCTGCACTTGTTTCCAACCTTTATTTCATCTCTCAGGTATTAAACTTTTATCTTATTCTTTATATCTTTACTTGTTGAATTGAATGATTACTTATATTGTTGTTGTTCCTTTTTCAGTTGTTGCACAGAAAGTACAGTGGGAACTTTTTGGTTAATTTGTTGGGAAAATGGAAGGAGTCTGAATACTCTGGTCAATCTGTCCCTGTTGGTGGTCTTGCTTACTATGTTACTGCACCTTCAAGGTAATGACTGATTCCATTCCATATTTCGATTCCATTCCATTCCATGATCTGTGATATGATATATTGTTTGTTTGCATGTGAATATCATCAGCTTGGCTGACATGGCAGCAAATCCCTTCCATGCTCTTTTCTACCTGGTGTTCATGCTAACAGCCTGTGCTCTCTTCTCAAAGACCTGGATCGAAGTTTCTGGATCTTCTGCAAGAGATGTCGCCAAACAACTCAAGGTAATCTAATAATAATACTAACAATAACATAAAACCTTTCTATGTCAAGGGCATTTACGTCTTTTGCACATGCAAGAGATGAAGAGTTAAAGTTGTGTTTAACGCGCCACAGCTAGCTGATAAGCTAGTGTATTTTTCGAGTTTTTTTAAGTTGTCATGTTTGGCAAGCCAAAAAGTAGTTTTTTAAAAAGCTACTTAGACTAGCTTTTTAGGAGATCTTTTAAAAATTTCCAAATATACAACTTAATTAGTTATAGAAACACATTTTTTTAAATGTCTTTTTATGTTATTTTATATTTTTCAGCTAGTTTTACCAAACATCATTTTATTATCAGCTATCAGCTGACTTTTTATTTAACAGTTAGTTTTTCAGCTAGTACGGAAACATAACGTTAGTTCTCACATGACATATCATCACACCTTTTGTTGGGACAAAAGTTGCAATTTTTATCCTGTTGACATGAATATCAGTATGAGTAACAGTACCAGTATGCCAGTATCTGTAACACAGTGTAACATATTGGTTTTGCAGGAACAACAAATGGTGATGCCGGGACATCGGGACTCGAATCTTCAGAAGGAGCTGAACCGGTACATCCCAACAGCAGCTGCGTTTGGGGGAATGTGTATTGGGGCTTTGACTGTTTTGGCAGATTTCATGGGAGCCATTGGATCTGGTACTGGAATATTGCTAGCTGTCACTATCATATATCAATACTTTGAGACTTTCGAGAAGGAGAAGGCCAGTGAACTAGGTTTATTTGGCTTTTAATTTTTTTTTTCTTTTTTTTTAGAGAGAACCACTTTTACCAAACCTACTTTGGTTTGTAGGGAGGGACTTGCAGTTTGAACCTATTAACTTTTTTTTTTTCTTTAGTCTTTGGGTGTTGGATCTACAATACAATGTTTTTTCTTTTATACGTGATCGTTTTTTGTTTTTTTTTAGCATCATACATAACACAGTAAAGAAATAGCAATAGAATAAATAAATGGGCTTAATATGTGATATAACCAAGAAGAGAAATTCTAGAGATTTATATCTAACAACAGAGCCCAATGAAAATTTCAAAGATAACAATTAATCAAGTAACGAGTTTATGGATCTTATAAAACAAGGTAAAATGATGTTATAGTTATTAGTTAATGAACTATGTTTTTTTTTTTTTTACACAATTTATTATAAAATGCAATGTTTTAAAAACCGGTTTTTTAATTGAACCGGTCGGGTGATATTTTCCGGTTCAACCGGATGGTGAAACCGGTTCTATATTTTTATATTTTTATATGTTTTTAATTATATTGCATACATTAATTACAAAACTTGTCATCTTTTTAGTATTACAAACGTAAATAGAATCTAACATATAAAAACAGTTATTACAAAAGTCAAAATCAAACAGAGAAGCCCAAAACAATCCAAAAATCAAAGAATGTTTGTTCAACCCGGTCTATTCCGGTTTAATTCAGCCGGTTGAACCTGTTTTTTACCAAAACCGGCCGGTTTAATCCGGTCAGAATTTCGTTATAAAACCGGTCCATATTGAACCATCGTCACCTCCGGTTTCCGGTTCGACCTGGTTCGAACCGGTTTTTAAAACACTGATAAAAGTCATAAAACGTATGTTTGTTCAAGAAATTCCATTTTGACCGCTTATGTAGGACATTAGGTGTATTTGGTTATCCTTCCTGTTAAAAAACCATTATTAAATTTATATTTTTGTACACATTTTACTATTATTTTTGTACATATTTTTAATCACTTTAGCGAACACAATTCCATAAAAAATGATAACATATTTTTATTTGTTCATTTTAAAAACACTTCAAAACACATAATCTTTTTATTTTCCACGTCTCTAAAATATCGTCACCCTGCCTTTACTGCAATCGACATTTTGCCTGCTTGCTACCGCTTACTACTTTGTGAAAACCACCATATCCCAACATCCTTCTCGGCTCTTTCTTCTTGAATCCTATGACACCTGTAAATACCTCTCTGAAAAGGATTTTAGATTAGTTTATTGGTGGTGGTGAATGTGGCCATAGAAGACAATCTTCGTTGTTGGAGATGGATGGTGGTGGTTGGAGTGGATGGTGTTGGCCTGAGTATATTACAAGACATAGTTTAATGTTAAATCGTATATAAAAAGAAGTTTAAATAGTAAATAATGTACTAAAAACATTATGGTATAATACCCAATGAAAATAGTAAGTTTTAAACCGTCCAAATGAGGTTAATGGTAAATCAAGTAAAAAATAAAAAACTAAATCTGTATCAAAATAATAAATTCATTATCCTACAAAATTATTTCTCTAAAAACATGTAATTCTTGACACACAAATGTTTTGCATAACTACTTTTAGTCAATATAACAGTTTTTTTGTTTATTTTCTTTCACAATCAAATGATGCAGTTAGTTAGATAAACAAAGTTTCTTATTCTGTCCTTATAACTTATAAGACTCTTTTATGAAACTGCTAAGCTTGGTTGGTGATTTTTATAATTTTCAATTATTTGACATAAAGATAATAATGAACAAGATGTATGTCTTTTTTTATCGTCAAGAAATTACAGCAAAAGGTGGACATGTAACCATTTTTGGAAACAAAAAGTGATTGCACTTGATCAATGTAACAGGTGAAACAAACATATGAGTGAAATTCCCACCAAAACATTAACTTTTGTAAGTTAGCCTTTTCAAGTCAAATATAAGAAAAACATCTCTTTATTGCAAGTATATTCAATTGAAAAAGTCTTATATTATTTTCTTATTTATTTAAAACGTTCCATTATTTGAAATATGTCTATTGCATTTTCTCATGGTTTTACTTTCGAAAACACGACTAGAAAGGTGTGCCATGACACAAGGTTTGATATAGCCGTCTAAAAAACATTCAAGGCATGTTTGTTTGTTAAGAGTGTTGCTAATACCGTGTCAAGACGCAAGTTGTTTTATTATTTTATTATTTTTTTAATTTTTTTAATCGGATATGAAACAATTGAGTTTTTGTTAACTTTTACATATTAAATGTTGATATAACACTTCTAAAAATTTGATATACTTAATAGTTAATATAAAAGAAATCATTAGAAAAGTATTAATATTTTGGGTCGGTGTATTCAAAAGTCTCAAATTTTATTGTTAAAATAATTCAGTGTTTATTTTATATTAGTATGCACGTTTTTTATTTATTTATTTTTATTTTAAGTAGAATAGTTCAATAATAAAGTCAGGGACACTTGGGTCATGGTTCCCTAGTCTTTGGCAAGTAGTTGATTAGTTCTTTAATTTTCTGCTTTTATTTGAGTTTAAATAGTCAAGGGCAAAGTGTATGAAACATCACTTCTATTCCAAGTTCATGAATAAAAAGTGCAGCTTTCTGTCTCTACTCTGTGTGTGTTTCCTGTTTTGTTCCACTACTCCTTTTAATCTTTTACCCACTATGCAGAATAGTGAAAGTTGTTTTCCAGTTTTGCCCTTCTTGTCATTCACAAGTTTTTGTCCCCTGTGCTTGTCACTTTCTTGTGCCCTGTTTCTTATCTTGAAAAGACCCTGCTGACACTGCAAAAATACCAACATTTGGTATCAGAGCATTCCTGGTGTATGCCGAAATTTCAGCCTCGTGAGATAGAAATGTCAGGAAGTAATAGAGAAAAAGATGGACAAGTCACACTGCATTATCCAATGTTGTCAAGGTCAAATTATGCAGCTTGGGCAATCAAAATGAGGGTGTTTATGCAGGCCCAATGTGTTTAGGAAGTTATTGAACATAGAACAGCAAATACAGTGGTGGAAGTAAAGAAGGATAAATTGGCATTGGCAGCCATTTATCAAGGGATACCTGAGCATCTATTGCTGTCATTGGCCGAGAAGAAAACAGCCAAAGAAGCATGGGATGCCTTGAAGACCATGTTCATGGGAGCGGATAGGGTGAACACTGCAAGGATTTAAACATTGAAGTCTGAGGTTGAATCACTAAACATGAAGGAAACCGAAGGAGTAGATGAGTTTGCTGTGAAAGTGACAAACATTGTGAGTACTATGCGTATTTTGGGAGATACTGTAGATGAATCCTATGTGGTGAAGAAGCTACTTAGGGCAGTACCAGCCAAGTTCCTTCAGATAGCTTCAACCTTTGAACAGTTTGCTGACCTGGATGAAATGACAATTGAAGAAGTGATTGGGAGGCTTAAAGCCCATGAAGAGAGAATGAAGGGGCATGGTGATACAGAGGAGAGAAAACTTCTCTTAACCCACCAAGAGTGGACTGAGAGAAACAAGAAGAAAGCAGAAGGCAGTTCAAGGTCAGTCCCAAAAGGCAACCGTGGTGGGTCATCACGAGGAAGAGGAAGAGGCCGGAGCAGGGGTGGTCCAAATGGTGGTCGAGGTGGTCGTGGTAGAGGTGGCTCTCACCAGCAGAAAGAAAGAAGTTACAACGGAGGCCATAATCAAGATAAGAGTGAAATACAGTGCTACAACTACCAAGAGTTCGGGCACTATGCAGCCGAGTGCAAGAACCCGAAGAAAGAAAGAAACCATGAGAGCAACTTGATCCAGGAAGATAATGAACCAGCCTTGTTGTTATCATCCTTTGAGACCAAAGAAGAGAAAGGGGATGTATTCTTGAATGAAGAGAAGGTGAACCCGAAGCTAAGATCAAATGGTGATACTGTGGGTGACTCAAACATGTGGTATCTGGACACAGGGGCCAACAACCACATGACTGGAGAAAGAAGTAAGTTCCAGGAGCTAGATACAACTATCCAAGGCTCGGTGAAATTTGGTAACAACTCAAAAGTTAGAATCGAAGGGAGAGGTATGGTTATTTTCAAATGCAAAAATGGTGAGCAAAGGAAATTAAGAGAAGTATATTACATACCTGAGTTGTGTAGCAATATTATAAACCTTGGCCAACTCTCAGAAGGAGGAGATGAGATTAGAATCAAGGAGAATTTCCTGAGAATTTTTGACTCCAGGATGAAATTACTTATGAAGGTACAAAGGTCACCAAACAGACTACAAAATTGAACTCAAAGAGGTCACATAGAGATGTTTTGTTGCTGAAATCAATGATCCAACCTGGTTGTGGCACACAAGGTTGGGTCACCTAAATTTCACTGCCTTGAAGCCAATGTCAGATAAGGGAATGATAGAAGGAATACCAAAGATAGTGATACCATCCAAGCTGTGTGAAGGTCGCCTAATTGGAAAACAAACAACAAGATCATATCCATCTTGTACAAACTTCAGGGCCAAGAAAAAGCTTGAATTGATTCATGGAGACCTATGTGGTCTAGTTTCACCCCCACACAAGTAGGAAAAAGGTACTTCATGCTCTTGGTTGATGATTATAGCAGGGTAATGTGGGTTTACCTGCTAAAAACGAAAGATGAGGCTCTTTAACCGTTCAAGAATTTTAGAGCTAAAGTGGAGAATGAAACTGGAGAAAATATTAAAATTCTAAGAACCGATAGGGGCGGTGAATTTCTGTCAAAGCAATTCACCACCTATTGCAATGAAATCGGACTCGATCGACATTTCACCTCACCATATTCCCCACAGCAGAATGGGGGTGGTGGAAAGGCGTAATCAGACGGTAATTGAAATGGTGAGGAGCAATCTATTGACGATGCAAGTTCCACACACGTTATGGGGAGAAGCAGTGAGTCACGCCATATACGTGCTGAATAGGTTAAGTACGAAAGCATTGAATGAATCCACACCCTACGAGATGTGGACTGGTCGTAATCCTCACGTGGGTCACTTGAGGGTGTTCGGATGCCTGGATCACATGATGATTCCCAAGAACCAATTGAAGAAGTTGGACGTAAGAAGCAAGTGTGTCGTA